ACCCCCAGGACCGCTCTTGGCGTGAAGTGTATTTAATCAGGGTTTAGCGGGACTGTTTTGGAGGGTCAAAAAACTAACGGGCATGCCACGCAAGCGGCTGCCAAAGTGCTCCAGAAGACGGCCCCAGCACCTAGCGCTGATCCTGCCATTGTGTAAAGATCTTGGCTTAAACTCGGCACCAAGGCCATGGTCACGGCGTACTGCCTGAAAACCCGCTGGAAGGGTTAGAAGCTAGTGTCCCTGCAGCGACAGGCTGGCTGGAGGCGGAGCGGGGGGCTTCCTCCGGGCTGTGGCAGCTGCCGCTGAGGAACCTGGACCTTCCATCAGGGCAGATGGGGGGCGGAGGCCTTTAGGAAGTGCAACCACGTCCGTGGCCCAAACGCCACACAAGGCTGTGTCTTCTTGAGGTTAAAGCACTCCTCGATTCCAGGGTGCCTCTCCACCCTGCCCTCCACGACATGTCCCGCTGCTGGCCAGAGGCAGGCCCTGCACCGGTGTCCAAATGCCCTGTCCTCAGAGGCTACTGTGCTTCCGTCGGGCCAGTGGGCACAGAGATGCTACAGAGGCCTGGCCGGTGTCCAGCAGGGGGAGACGTGGGCTCGCAGGGCAGCAGTGTGCTGGCACTGAGCCACGTTGCACTGCAGGGCAGAGACTGTGTGGCCACGGACGACGGTGCCCACAGCCAGCTCTGGTGAGAAGTGCGTGTCGTGGCACACCTGACGATAGCACCCAGGACAGAGGCCGTGACCGTTAAAGGACCTACTCAACCCGTGGCAGAGTTCCAGAAGAGGCTGTGCGACCTGCACGACAGAAAGCCACGGCGACCGGGCATTCCAAGGCCGCAGGGACTTCTGTGCCCACACATCATACAAGCGCCTCAGCGTGCGCATGGCGCTGGGCCTCGGGCCAGCGTGGGCCGAACGAAGCCATGACATTGGCCATGTCACGCACGTGTGCTCTCCTCTTGCTGGAGCTCGGGGCCTGCAGGGTGCTGGGACCGGTGTCCCCTGCCTGTGCCCCTGGCAGTCCCAGCAGTGCAGATCCTGCAGAGATGCAGCAGGGGCGTCGGCTTGGGTGTGTGTCCTCCCACCCCCCCAAAGGAGGTGTCCAGCGGAACTTCATCTAGACTGGCCCTGAGCGGGTCTGCAGTCTCATGCCCCTCCTTTCAGCAGAGCTGGTACTTATCCTGGCTCAGTGGACGATGCTGTTTGTGAGAAGAATGAGAGAGAAGCTGGGGCTCAGTCCAGCTTTGCCATCCTTGGCCTGGAGTGGCCGTGGCGGGGGTGGCCTGCAGACCCCTTCTGGGGGCAGCAAGGCTCTGGGGATCCTCAGCCCCATGTGAGAGCCATGGGGACGCAGAGCGGTGGTCCAGTGGGGGCCAGGCTGGCGGGGTGACTGCAGGATGTCGGCGATGGGAAATGGCAGAATTTTCCGGCGGAGGCCACCCGTGGAGCTCAGCGGGGCTCCTGGCGCCTACGGGCAATCGGACAACCCAGGCTTCGAGGCCCAATTGGAAGGTGCAGTTCACAGCCCGCGTCAGGGCACCAGCCCCCACCTCCCTCCAGACGCCCCTGCTGTGCACAGGGTAGGACGGCCAGCATTCTGCCACCTCGCTCACGCAGGGTGAGGCCTGAGTGTCAGCGAGCGTCATTCGGAGTCCAGGAAGGCGGGCTCAGTCAGGACCCAGCCCCCGGGCCCCCGCAGGACTGCTCTGCACTCAGCATTTCTTCCACTTCCCGAGTAGCAGGGCGTCCCCGTTCCGATGTCGTCAGCTTTTCGGTGGCTTGTACGTCGTGCAGTTGACCTCTTAAAGTTGTCATCATCTTTCCCTTGAGTCACCCCAGTCCCTGATTTCTTCTTAACCCATCTGTACCCACACGCGTGGCCGTCGGGTGGGTGAGGAGGGGCTGGCAGGCTCCCCCTAGGCAGTCTGGGGTGGGCTCTGGCTCTCAGGCGGCCACAGCCGTGAGTCCCCAAGCCCCACTGCTGAGGCCACTGTGCCTATCTCACATGGCTCAGGGGAACAGGGCGTTGCGGCCTTTAGGGCAGCCTGACTGGGCAGGCAGTGGCCCACCTGACGGGAAGAAGCTAGGCTGGGCGGGGAGGGCAGGGTGGTGGCAGCAGGACAGGGACAGGGCTGGGAGGACTGTCCAGATGGAAAGGGGGCCCTCATCTTGCCGTCCTCGGCGTAGGGGGCACCTCGTGCGTCTCGGTGTCTGTGCAGCCCCCTTGGCTGTGTCTGGGCTGACCCCAACGCTGCGTCCACCCTTTGCAGAACCGTGGTCATGCCGATCGCAAACGAGTTTGCCCCGGACGTGGTGCTGGTGTCGTCGGGCTTCGACGCAGTGGAGGGCCACCCCACGCCACTCGGCGGCTACAACCTCTCTGCCAAATGTAAGTGGCCATACCTTCCCGGGAGCAGCTTGTGCCCAGTGGGTGCTGGCCTTGGAGTAGCAGAGGGGAAGTCCGCCCACGTGGCCCCGAGAGCACAGAGCAGGCCAGGACGAGGAAGTGGGGACCAGGAGTGTGCCGGGCCACAGGGTGAGCAGGTCTTACCCCTGGGAAGGCCAACACCAGCTAAAGTGGCTTTTGTTCCCCGGAGTCACCTGTGTTGACGGGCCCTTCCATGGCGTCGCCCTTAAGCCTGCAGCACGTCTGACTCGGGCAGCAGGGAGCCCAGACTCGGGCCTGAGCTTTTGAAGCTCACCTGGGCACAGAGGCAGAAGGAGTGGCGACAGCCTGCACGGTGGCTATGACGTCTAGGAAGCCATAGGAGATGGAGCCCTCCTGGCATCAGCCCCTCAGGTGGTTTAGACCAGGCTGCCTGCACCCTGGCATTGGAGCACCGAGCAATAGGGACCCCTGTGGCCTGAGGACCCCTTACATAGACCTGGTCCCCGTGACTCCATCAGGGCCTGGGGCCCTCAGACTGCCCCTCCCCCAGCACAGGTGGCAGGGACAGCACAGCTCCCTGGGAACCACAGATGGTCTGGGGGTGGTGGCAGCGTGCACCTTGTAGGGCCTGCCTGGGGTCGCCAAAGTGGCCAAGAGAGGACACACCGCTCCCCGCACACCGTAGCACAGGCCGACAGCCACTGCTACCACAGCGCCTCTTCGCTCAGTGCTCGGCATCCTCGAGGCCAGCATCGCCATTCCACCCAACAGAGCTGACGCAGGGCTCCAGATCAGGCCCGCCAGCCCCAGCCAGTCTGCGGCAGCGAACCTGTGATCGCACCCCTCGGCTCCCACAGGGCTCCCACTCTAACGCATGTCAACTGACCTGGCCGAGGGGTGGGACTGTTACCTGCAGGCACTCACTCCCGGTGGGTGGCTGGTGAGATGCCCCGAGAGGCTGTGGCCCCTGATCAAGGCCAGATGCCTCAGACGAGGATTACGCACGTTCCATGTGGGCACGTAGACGCTGTCATGTGTACATGTGTGCACATGTGCACGGCCAGGCATGTGCAGAGCGTACCAGGTGACCAGAGACCTGTGGTGACCCTAGCTATGTTCCCAGTGGCCCCGGTCCGGGGAGCTGGAGCAGGTGGTGCTGCCTTGTCCCCAGTAAGATGGTCTGCTGCTTCGTCGTCGAAGCGTGGAAAACTTAGTCCTTGCCCAGAGCCTAAGCCATCACCAGACCTGGCCTCGTGGCTCCTCCGGGCATGCTGCCGAGCCCTGGCCCGGGCTTTCCGTGGAGGACACTGAGTGTCTGGCGCTTTGGTGCTCGCCCGCCCTCTCCCTCCACTGGCATCTCCCACTCCGTTGCAGGTTTCGGGTACCTGACGAAGCAGCTGATGGGCCTGGCCGGCGGCCGGGTGGTTCTGGCCCTGGAGGGAGGCCACGACCTGACCGCCATCTGCGATGCCTCCGAGGCGTGTGTCTCTGCTCTGCTGGGAAATGAGGTACGGGGCCCAGGGACCCGCCATGCTGTCCGGGGCTGGCCCCGCGGGGGCACTGCCCGACGGCTAGCAGGATTGGAGGCCCTGCTCTGGCGCAGACCACGGCTGCCGTGGCGGGGAGTGATGGTCTCTGAGACCCTGAGTGCACTTTTCTCTCTGCCATGCATTTCTTTTTTTTTCTTTTTTTTTCTTTTTTTGAGAGGTCTTTGCTATAGGGCGTGTGCACTCGCCAGACAGACAGAGACGGAGAGACAGAAAGCGAGAAATCACCCCCCAGGGGGGATGGTCACGCCACAATCCCTTCTCCATTCTCCTCTTGGGATCTTGGGCACGCACGCACATGCGCCTGGCATGAGTTTTACGACACCGAGTCTGGGACACGAACCGTGGTTGCCTACGTGGGAGTCCAGCGACATAGCCATTACGCTAACTGCTGGTTCCCTCTGCCATGCATTTCTTGACCTGAGGGTCATGATGAGGCTGGCAGGTGGACGGTGAGGCCTGTGGCTGTCCCGGCAACCCGGGCCAACACACTCAGCCACAGAAGGAGGCACAGGAGGAACACTGAGCTGCGGCCCCAGAGGATGCCACAGGCCCTGCCTGGGTGCGCGGAGCCGGGAAGGTGGGAGCCGGCCACACCAGAAGAGGCCGCTCCCTGCACCCTGCAGTCCGGGCTAAGGTGTCCTGCAGAGGAGGAAGGCTGGATGGCATGGGGAGCCAAAGGCAAGGCCACCACGAGTCAGCGTGGACCAGAGCACATTCCCTACAGGAAGGCAGTGGGCTCTCAGGCTGGGGTAGGGGAGGCTGGACCGGCAAAGCCAGAGGATGAACCAGGGAGGAGAGGGAGGAGGTCACGGGGCTGTCCAGGGGCCGTCGGAGCCCATCTGGACCCCAGAGCTTGGGGTGGGCACACAGTACCTGGCATGGCTCCGCTAGTGGCCAACCGTGCCATGGTGAGGATGGCAGGGCCACACTGGGTGGGGACACTGTGCCACTACCACTGCTGAGAGCTAAGGGAAGCCCAGGGAGGGGTCCCGGAATGTGGCTTGGGAGGGACAGTCGGTGCAGGAAGGAAGGGGGGGCTCTGCTTGGGTCTGAAGTCAGCAGGGAGACCCCTAGGTGAGTCCCAAAATCAGCTGCGAAGGAGTGGGAGAGTGGGACAGCCTGGAGGGGCCGTGTAGGGGAGCCCCCAGGTGCTGCAGGCACAGGGGCTGGAACATGAGGCCACCCAGTGACCCTCGGGTTAAGTTCCAGGCAGAATGATCGGGCCGGTCCAAGCCTCTCTGCCAAGGAGCTCCCAGACTGGGAGCCCCAGAACCCCAGGGAGTGGGGCTGTCATAGGGAGTGTCAGGCAGGCTTTTGGCTCCCCACCCCTACGTCATCCAGAGGGGATTTGCAAATGAGAAAGCCCTGCTTGTGATGTGCCGCCGAGCACCAGCCAGACCGGGTGCACTGGAGATGGGTGGGGGACCTACAGCAGGTGCCTACGGGTGCTGTCTGCGACTGTACCAAGCCATGTACCGCGGGACGGCTGACCACAAGAGGTGCACAGTGGAGGGACGGGCTCTGTCTGCAAGCCACGGCTAGTCAGCGCAGGTAGGAGACTGCAGTCACAGGCCATCCCTGCCTGCTGCAGGCAGTGGAGCTGACGGGGCATCTGGGAGGCCAGCCCGAGGCCTGCCCAGTGTCCCAGCCCACACGAGTCGAGGGTAAGGACGACCCTAGCCTGCGTGTCCGCCACATGAGGGCCCCCACAGCAGCACCACCTACCGGGCCAGCACTGCCCACCCTGGGGCCATGCTGAGGGCAGTGACGAATGAGCCCAGCCTTGGGGAGCAGCCAGGGGTACTGGGGAGACACGTGGCCTTCCCGGTGTGAGGCCAGGAGGCAGTGGGGCCAGGTGGGGCCTGGGACCACATTTCCTGGGGGTCTTCAGCCATGCGAGTTGTGGAGGGCACAAGGAGGCCAAGGGTCTGAGTGGCATCCTGGTGACCGCTGAGATGCTGAGTGACATGTCGGAGAAGAGGCTGGTGTACCCCTGGAGGGCCCGAACGTGTGTCCTCGCTCCTGCTCCTCAGGGCTTTCCCACCCCCACCAGGACTCCAGGGCTGCCGCGCGGTGCCAG